GTCCTTTGCTGCCGTCCTCAGTGAAGCTCCAAATTAGCGACCAGGTTCAGGCCGAAAGATGAAACTAGGCAAAAGGATATGTCATTTCGTGTGCGTTTTCACACGCAAACACTTGCAAAATACTGAGGACGTGCAAGCCCTTCAGTAGTTGAAAGGGGAGGCTGATGACCTCAGTCGAGATCACCCGATCTATGCGCACCTACCATCAAAGGCGAGTCGGGGAAATGCGTAGTCCTATAGTCTATCGTATTTTTACATATCCGTTTAGCTAAAATATAAGTTTGCTATTTTATTGAAGAATGCAGCTATCACAGGGGAACTTCTTTCAGTTTATGTAGTTTCAGTTCCTCTAAGAAGAAAGATTTTATTCAGCTGCTATCTCTCACTCTAGGGTAGTTTCAATTAGCTCCCAACGCTGTATAACTCCCAGGCATAGCCGCTTCCCAGCAAGTCCTCCTAAGCCCAATTGCCGGAGTTTGTGTGTGTGGAGGCCGCAGTCCAGGTCAGGCCAACAACTTGCTCTGTCTACTGGGGAACTGTTAAGAGTAACAAGAAATCTCTCCCCCATCCTCCAGCCCTCTCGTCAGGCACTGCAGGGGCGGAAACCTTGAGTTTCTGCTTCCATTCCTTTCAGTAAGCCCTACAAATATTATTTCTGAGGACTGATGTCAAAAATTTGGGAAGGACTGTCCTACATTACTGACCATTCATTGACTTGATTCAGTCTAGCCCAGCAATTTTACAGTGGTAAACTGAGGACTAAAGGGATGAAGGGTCTTGCCCAGTGAAGGCAGTATGGGGTAGGAGTTAGAAGAGATTTTAGGGGCAAACCCCCCCAAACTTGGCTCTTGCATTTATTAGCGGAGACATTTTGGTTGAGTGACTTATCCTCGCTGAGTCTCAGTTTCCTGAGCTGTAAAATGAAGCTAATGGTGAGTATCCTTACACTTAGAATGAAGATAATATAAGAAGGCACTGAGCTTAGCGCCTGGTATCTGATAAGTGCTGGATAAATGGTTGCTATTACTACTATTATTAGAACGCAGGTCTCTGACACACCTCCCAAGGCCCCCTCCCCATCTTCATTACATCATCCTGCTTCCTCAGAGGACTATTATTTACTGAAATCAACGAACTATAAACGACTGGTATATGCAAAGCATACTGGATGCTTGATGTGGTTTTTTTCTCCCCTTGGGGAACCACGAGTATCTAGATATATATAAAGCATCTAGTCTTTCAGTGCAAAGGCAGTAAGAATCCCTGAGCTACTACTCAAATCTTAAAAAGGACCCTCGGGGCATGTCCTCCTTTCGCTGTCAGATGACCATGCAGATGGTTGAGAATTAAAAGTAATGCTGCCCCAGGTTGACACTGCAGAGGGGTGGGAGAATGACTCCAGTGGCACCTTGTCCCGTCCTTTCTATTATGGTGACCCAGATCAGGCACTTCAAAGGTTCTCCTAGCTGCAAATGGAGAACCAGTCCCACTCCTGTAGGAAAATGTTTCATGCCACACACACAAATCAAAGCTGTTGGAAAGGAGACTTTAATTTTCTTCTTCCCATGCTGTGGAAGGACAGCATGTTCCCCAGCTTTATTTCCTCCCTCAAGGAGAAAAAGGACAGTAGTTTTCTGGGTCTCAGGGCTAAGCTGCTTCTATATGGACCTAGCCAAGACAGGACAGAAAGACTGGTGACTGATTCCAAATCTCTCAGCTAAACACATCAACTGCTTATTGAAGGGCAAGCAAGCGACTGGAAGGCAGGTTGTGGACTTGGCCTCAGGGGCCAAGCACAGAGAGCATAACGTGATCAGAATGAAAAGGTAAGCACCACGCTATATGCAGTTAACCCCAGAACTCACATCTCTGGTATTTTGGCCGCTTAGAATCAGCTAAGCATATCTACAAGGGCTACAGCCTCACAGCTCTAGTCCTAAGTCCTCTTTGGCCTTGAGCTTCAGCACGAAGAGCAGGGTTCTCACAAATCCTGTGAGAGCAGAGGTTCTCAGCCAGGGTCATAGTGTCAAAGATGTGCCATGGCAGAGCCTCTGGACACATGCAGGGATCCCAGCCCCCCCGGCACCTCTCCAGGACCTTTTGATCCTGAAGCTGATTCCTTGTCAAAACCATTTGAGCTCTCAACTTGAGTGGAGTAGAAGGGGGCAAAATCATCTAATCTGGAGTGTGAACAGGACCACCAAGGGCTGCGCCTAGGAGGAAAGACTGTAGGCCTCACAACAGTTTTTCCAAACATGAGCTTCAATTATTTTTTTATTTGAAAAAAAAAAGTCACAACCAAGCATATAAAGAAAAATACTGTTGTCCTGAACTCATGTTTTAGGAAGGGGCAACAGGGAAAAGCAAAATACACCTTGGAATTGATTGGGTTTTCAAGATGATGAGTCTTCTTCAAGCATTAGGCTAACTATGTGCTTTGCTAACCTAGATGGTGCAAAAACACTTCCAGATGGAGAAGGAGGAGCAGATGCTGTTACTTCAGGCAAAGGTGGGAGTTACTGAGTAGAAAGGCAGAAAAGCAGGAAAAGGCCCTACATCTTTCCCCAAAGATTAAAAAAAAAAATGTGTGTGTGTTGAGGGGGGTATTCCCCTCCTCCCACCAAGAATCTCAAAGCACTGGACTGTCGTCCAGGTATTACGATGAGACTTGCCCCATCTCAGTCAGCAAACCCACCAGGACCTGAGCCAAGGATTCCCACTGCTTCTAGTTCTGAGGACTTCTAAGAGGTTCTTGCTTGTGAAATGGCAGTTATGGTTTTTGGTTTTGTGAAACATAGGTAAGAGACAGAGCTGCCCTTAGAAAGGTGCTCTTTAAGAGGAGATAAACTCAAATCACCATTACACTTGGCTTTGATAATTTGGGATTTGATCTTTAAAATCTTTTCTTTTTTGAGCTCTCCTTCCAGTGTTTTATATGGGATTTGGTCAGACTCCAGCTTGGGAAAATTATAGGTTTTATAATATTCACATTGGGAAAACCAAATCCTTTATCTGAATGAAGACAAACCCATGCTTTTCCAACACATTCAGCCCTCCCCTCTCCCTTCCTTCCAGTGACACCAGATGGGCGCACTGGAACCGTCAGTGCCAGGCTCCACCCTCTGTGGACATCCTATACACCAATCCCCCAGGGTAGCACTCAGGCATATGGAGTGTTTTATAAACTCCAAGCTGATTCTGATGAACAGCCAGGATGGAGAATCTCTCTCAGGGCTCTGGGCTTTCTATTTTTCATTCTCTCTCAATGTCTTCATACAAATGAAACAACTGAACCATTTTAGGGAAGCTTTGCATGTGTATGAGAGAAGAGGCAGGAAGAGTCTCCAAATATAGCAAAGGTTAACCCTAGTTCTCAACCTCCTAATCCAGGACAAAAAAGGGGACAAGAAGCTCTACCCTAAATTCAAAGGGAAGCTAAGGTTTCAATGCTATTTAAAGAGTCACTTCATGTCACGGTCATTGGGAAGGATGAGACAGCTGCAGAGAGCTTCACCAGAGTCTCACTGATGGAGAGAGTGGTAAGAATAAAGATAGTAACAGGATTTGGTGGGAGAACAACACTGGATGGCAGAGCAGAAACAGAATATCATCAGCCTCTTGGCACAAACAGGAACAAATAAACACAGAACAAGAAGATGCACTGACATTGTATATTAAACTTTCCTCCCCACTCTCAGGATACTTTTTACATTGCAATAAATAGTGCAGTTCTAGCAGCGGGAAACAAGAAGGAACGTGCCAAGTACCCACCTCCCTCTCATATGTGTTTAGCCATACGCTCTCTTCCTAGGTAGCACCAGTTTCCCAGGTGCTGGGTGAGAGACAGGACAGGGGGAAGAGGTCTGTGCATACGTGCCTGCCCTCTGGCCTCTGGAGGTGCCTGGAGAGTTCAGCAAACACCCCCATCACGTTCCTGTGACAGACACTGGGGAGTGGAGGGCTGGCTGTTGGGCCCGTTCTTCCTCTAAGGCAACATCCTAGAAAGACAGGGCCTGCCGTGGGAGAAACATGGTCACTGACGTTCAGCCGCCTGTCTAGCTGAACCTCTAGCACTAAGACTGTGTCCTTGAAGGCCTTGTCCTAATTGGCAAGAAGGTGGGGAAGGGGCAAACAACAGCCCCTTCCCTCCCGGTCTTTGTCTGACTCCCGCACGCGGTGGTGCCAGGCTGGACCGGCCACAGATGAGGCACAGACATCAGGCACGCAGACCCTCTCCACCACCTCCAGGTTCCCCCACTCTACACTCTCACTGATGGCCACTAAGAAACACAGTCTCCGAATAACTATGCATCCAGTTTATCTTGAGCCCTCACTCCCGTGTGTGGCAACAACAGTGCTCCCATGAGACCTTCTTAGCACTTCCGGATATGAGTTGGTCAAGAGGTTGGGGGGGGGGGGGGCTTCTTTTCCAGGAACCTGGGTCAAAGGCCAGCTTTTCCACCAGCTTTACCCCTAGAAACCCTAAATACTGTCTGGGCACTCTCTGCAGAGTTCAGTTTGAAACATGCAATCATAACTTCAGTGACAGTCAACTACAAGGCAGCATCTTGATTAGGCAGATGTGCTCCAGAAAAAAAAGCAAAACAGGTGTGAACAGGTAGAAAAAGAGAAGACACTGAAAAGGGGCAGGTGACAGGGCAGACACAGCAGACCTGTGCCGAAATGCAAAACACCAAGTGGTCTCCACAGCTCAGGCCACTGCTCCACCTTCTCAATTCATTCCAAGAAAAGCTAGCCTGGAGCAAGGGGGAGGGGAAGAGTAGGGAGCACAGTGTTTGGTAACAAAAACAGAAATGGTTGGTGAGAAAAGAGGAGAGAGGGATACCTTTCTAATCAGCATGAAATGCCCAGGGCAATCACCAGCAAAGATGGGAGGCACCTAGGGACCCTGTGAGGCATCAACTATGGAACCAAGTGTTTCTAACAGAGAATCCAGGGCCTGACCGCTCGACACCTGCCTTCACCTGCCTTCACCTGCCCTATGTCTGCAGCAGCACCTCCGGCTCAGACAGTGAGCAATAGAGAGTGTATCCCAGTTCGTCTATTTCCTCAGGGGTGAGCTCTGCAAATAAGTTCACCTTGGGGTTTAGGGCACTGGGCAGAACTCCGGCCTCCAAGTAGCTGATGAGTCCCCTCAAGGCCTGCAGAAATCGGTCAGCCAGCACATCAGGAGACCAGTCAGCCTCCTCCTGGGCCACGTGGAGGATGACGTTGGTAAGCTGGCTGGCAGTGAGGTGACCCAGGGCCGGAGTGGACTTGCACACGGCCTTGAGGATCTTGAGGCACAGAGAGCGGCAGCCCGAGTCAGCCTGGTCCAGAGCCCGCAAGCGCGCCGTCTCGGCAGGACGCAGGCTCAGCCGCCACAGGTTGTCATACTGGGCTAGCCGGTGTGGTTTGGCCACCAAGACAGTGTCACCAAGGGTCACTGATGGCAGGAAGTCAATGAAGAGATGCCTGTCACGCTCATACTGCACTTCCAGAGTCAGAGCCTCTGGGGGTGGGGCCGGTCGAATCACATAGTCCAAGAGGGACCCGATGGCCGGCCAGTTGATGGAGCCAGCCACTACCTTTTCGAACGTGTCTGCCACTGTCTTTGGAGAGAGGTAGCCCCCTACTACACAGCGGTCCCAGTAACTGCTACCACGAGGAAAGTACTCTGGGTTCTCCCGGCGAACCAGGAAGAAGCCAGGGACGTTCATGATGGTGTCCTCTCCGGGGATACACGACCACAGGTTCTGCTCCAGCACAAGGGGCACGATGAGTTGGATGTGGTCAGCTGTCACCACCTGGTGGAGAAGAATTAAAAAGGTTTTGAGGGATTTAATCTGCTCAAGAGCCAAGTTTCCCCAAACACAGGTCCCACAGTGTGGATTTCAACCCAGGTCAGTCGGACACTGGCGCCCGTGCTCATTCCACACACCACGTTGCCTCTGGACACAGAAGTACACATGACATCCCCCAGGCCTTGATGGCTCGAAGGAAAGCCAGAAAGGAAAGATAGGCACAAGAATATAGGAAGGAGGAGGCCTCTGACAGCTTCCTAGAAGTTGTGAGTATGACTAAAAAACAAAAACGTTAAAGGCAGGGATCTCCAAATGCTACCGCTGTATGTGGAATTCAGATGCAGTAGGACTAACCTTTCTGGCACACCTGGGAGACTGATCTCCTGTACCAACAGCCCTACTGAGAAGCATCCTGGTCAGTACAACCCTGCCCTTCGTAAGAACCCCCTGCTTACCTGCAGGTCATCATAGAGGCTGCCACTCAGGTACATGTCCCGAAGTGGCATGTCAGGCAACTTGGCCCGCAGGAAGCTCCGGAGCTCGGCACATATGTCCACGGCAGCTTGCTTGGCCCGAGCCTGCTCGCCAGCAGGGATGGCCGCCCGGTTCCGGTAGTAAGTAAGAAGTTTCTCCTGCAGGGACATGCGGAGTCGTGACTTCTTCAAGTCTACCTGGCCCTTCCTGGCCAATGGCTTGGGCCGGGGCAGGCAGAATGTATCTGCCAAGGCAAGAGAGAGAGGCACGTGAGCTCTTCCCGTGCTTGCTCATCCACGGCTGCCTCAGCCCCAAAGGAGACGGGCTTGGCACAAAAGGCTAGCATGGTGCCTGGCACGTATGTCCCTAAGAAATGTGTTGAATGCATGAGTAGCACTGAGAGCCCCGAGGTCAGTCCCAGAAGGGGTACCAGCCTTCCTCACCTGTGTCAAAGGCCGAGGAGCCTGTGGGAAGGGCCTGTAGGGACCTGCTCAGGCCTGTCTTCATGTCCTTGTTGAGCAATCGGGGGGAGCCCATCCAGTTTGGTTCTTCCCAGCTCCTTTTCCCTGAATGGCTCAGGCGGGTGGGGCTGGTAGGGGCACTGATTGCCCTATCGTACATCTGAAAACAGCAGACAGGACCCAGCACATGACCTTCTTTCCTGTTTCCCTCCTTCCCAGCAGCTTTGCCTTAATGAGTTCAGCTACTATTTTTCAATAACTTTGTTTTATTCTAGATTATGGAATACTTTGCTCCGCACAGAAAATCTCAGGAAATACTAAATGATATAAATAAGAAACAGATTTATCCATAATGTCATAACCCAGAGATAACGGTTAATATTTTGGTATATTTCTTTCTGAAAATATATATTTGTGTAATTAGGATCCTCCTCTATATATACTTTTGAAAACTGATTTTTTTTACGTATCATTTTTATCACTCCCCCATATCACTAAAAATGAATCAGTGTTGAACATTATGGTACAATTTCTAACTATACAACACTGTACTTTATGAATGTACTGTAATGTCGAACACTGATCCATTTAACAAATACATCACTGAATGGCTACTCTGTGCCAGGAGTTGTTCTAGGTGTACAGAATAAAGCAGTAACCCAAAGAGACCCAATCCCTGCCCTCATGGAGTTTGCAGTTTAGCAGAGGGATACAGGCAATACATAATCAACAAGCTAAACCATGCAGATATAGGTGTTAAGGAAAGTAAAGTAGGAAGGAAAAATAGGAAAAATGTGTGGTGGGAGTCCTGCTATTTTAAATAAGGTAGTCAAGGAAGGCTATTTTGATTATTTGCAATTTTTCACTCGCTGGGATAAACTTTTTTTTTTTTTTTTTTTTTCCTTGCGTTATGCGGGCCTCTCACTGTTGTGGCCTCTCCCATCTGCGGAGCACAGGCTCCGGACGCGCAGGCTCAGCGGCCATGGCTCACGGGCCCAGCCGCTTCCGCGGCATGTGGGATCTTCCCGAAACGGGGCACGAACCCGCGTCTCCTGCATCGGCAGGCGGACTCTCAAGCACTGCGCCACCAGGGAAGCCCTGGGATAAACTTTTTATTTGTATCTCCAACAGTTTCTTTAGGGCAGAGTCCTAAGACGTAGATTTACTGAATCCTCTTAAGGTCTCATCTAATAATGCCAAATTACCAAGTTACATTTCCATTGGCAGTATCAAGGTCTTATTCTAAGTCAGCTCCACTCGGCAGCCTCACCACCTCTCCAACCCCTGGCTGAGTGTACTTACCCGCTTAACCGCCAGTGTAGCAATGCCCAGCATGGCTGCTCCACCCACCCCCAGCACCAGCCGGGCATTGGAGAGCACAAAATCAATGGCCGTCCCGATGCCATTATCATCCTTCTTGCTTTTGCGCTCACCAGCGCCTGCCATTGCTCACCTGAGGAGGAAGGCAGAACACAGCCATCACCACCTTGGACCTTGGGAAGCAGCCCTCCTCCTCCCTCCCCCATCAGGCCAGTCCCCAACAATTTCAGGGTACTCTGTGAGTTCCAGGAGCCCAAATCCTCCTGCCTCTAGCACTCCATGTTCTAGGGTCAGGAGGGAGGTATCGTGTCCCTTGATGTATCTGGATGCAAGGTGGAGGAAATGATCACGCTAGTCATGGGAAAGCCTCCCCACCAATCTATTGAGATTACAGAGAGCGATAATAAGCTCACTGTCAACCCTTTCTCGTATGAGAGTGAAGTACCCCGCCCCCACGCAATACAAGCCTCCGGACCCCTTCCCAACATTACAGTGCAGATCATATTTTGATCCTCTGACCACTGCTTATGGAAGGTTAGATCTGAGAAGGTGTAAATTAATTAGAGATCCATCTAATCCCATCACATCACTTCACATGTAGGGAGGTGACTTGCCAGAGATCCCAGAGAAAAGGAATGACAAAGCCATATGCAAAACTCAGGCCGCCTCTCAACTCCTAGCATGATGGTTTTTCTACTGTATCATGTTTCCCCTTACCCAAGTCAAACTGTTCCTATTCTACGTATTTTCTGCGAAAAATAATAACAACAACAACAACAAAGACTAAATACCCTGGCACATGGAGACAAAACTACAAGTCCACATGTGAGAAAGATCCAAAGAAGAGAACTCTGTGGACAGGCCCACTTGACAAATGCTTTGTTTCTTGGGACAAGTGTGCAGGGGCACCACAAGAAGCTCAGGTGAGCCTGGCACTGTGACAGAGACTGAGAATAAACAAAACGGTCACTGCAGACTCAGCTGTTAACTGGAAAACAAAATATCCACCTGCTCAAGTGTGCTTGGAAAATGAACTAAAAATGTGGTCACCTAAGCGGAGATCATGGGCACAAGGCAGAAGAGGCTGGCCTCCGTACAGTGCTGGAGCGAGGCGAGCACGCCTTTGCTCCCTGGCAACGACGGGGTCATCCTGACTGAAGTTCCCCTGGTCTCCCAGTAAGCCCATTTCCCATGCAGTTAGAACCCTGGGCCCGACCCAGATAAAGGATGGCAAAGTGGCTCAAATCTGAGCACTGCTTTTAACACTGCTACCCCTCCTACCTCCCGTGTCCTGTACGCCAGGAACCATGTAGGGAAACCATTCACCAATATACCTAGAACGGGAGGACAGAGACGGACAAGATCACTGGCGCATCTTCCAGTGCGAAGTGGCATTCCTTCTAATGCCCTTCCAACTGGGTATTGCTAGTGTCCCATGTCATGCCCCTGGCCTCCCCTGTCAACAAGAGAGAAATATTTCTGCCTCTACTTATTCCAGCAATTGAGTTAACTAAGAGTCACTGTCAATCCCAAAATTATTTTTTTCCCTATAACCAGAGGTCACAACCACGGCACTTTTCTTTCCTCCACCTTTTACCGTCGACAGGAGCTTCAGGTTTAGGGACACGAGAAACTGCTTGTGGCCAAGTGAAATATACGCCCCACCTCAAACGCACAGGGCACACAAGGCCAAGGGGAAATATACCCCCCACCTCAAACACACAGGGCACACAAGGCCGAGGGGAAGAGTTCAACTCTGTATTTACAGGTGGGGTCAGGCAAGAACTCTGTATTTACAGGTGGGGTCAGGCAAGAACTCTAGTCATCCTCCCTCCACTGAGACAGAGATGGGACATAAACTCATCTGAGGCAGAGTAATCCAATCAGGAGGGGACAAAGCTGATCATTACACAGTTCCCGATACAAGACCATGAGCACCATTTTATTGCTTTTAAAACAAAAGAACCTTTAGAGATGTATTTACAATAGGGAGGACCACCGTCTAAATCAGGGGTCCCCAACCCCCGGGCCGGTAGTGGTCCACACCTGTTAGGAACCAGGCCACACAGCAGGAGGTGGGTGGTGGGTGAACGAGGAAAGCTTCATCTGCCGCTCCCTGTCGCTCCCATCACCGCCTAGGCCATCATCATCCCCCGCCCCGGCCCGGGGAAAAATTGTCTTCCAACCGGTCCCTGGTGCCGAAAAGGTTGGGGACCGCTGCTCTAAATGATCCTTGCATGTAATGCAGCAGAGCAAGAAGGGCACATTCTCCCTCCGTGCAGAAGCCGGAAGGAGCCTCTCTGGCTCCTTGAACCCTCGGCCCCTCTGATGACTGGGGAGAACAAGGCACTGAGGTGGCGTAATAGAAGAGCCTGGGTTTTAGAGTCGGAAATCTTGAGATTGAGTACTTGCCTTTGAGCCCTGACTAATTAGCTGGGTGCCCTCAAATGAGTTGACCCCTCAGCTATGTAATGGGGATAATGATGCCTGCATGGCCTAAATCATAGGGTTGTAGTGAGGAAAACATATCTACTAAAATACCGTATGTGAACACTTTATACCCCGTAAAAGGACTCTACAAATGTGGGCCATCATTAAGTCTTTTAAGATCTCCATCCACAGGACAAAAGGTCAACTTCCAGAAGGCAGTCAGCAATCCAGACTGTCCTGTGAGTTACATCTTACCTTCTGAGACTGAGCCAGGAATGGCCTATGAAACCCAAGCTGATGCTATCCTGGGCTTGAGACCAAAACTATGAAGTTGAGCAGGCTTGGGAAAAGGCTTTTCTACTCTAGTGCAATATACTCCCCGCCCCATCCAAGGACCAGGTGATGTCAAAGACCTGGTGACCTGGAAGAGGAAAGAACACCCACAGCTCCCACAGGGAGATCAAAGTTTCTATTCTAAAACTGAACTCAATCTGTTCCAGTTGAAACTACTTAACTACAGTCTACCCTCCACTCAGGCTCTGCCACACTACCTGGGAGCCTGCGGGAGGTGGGAGCTCTGCCTGGCAAGGAGAGGGGCCTGGAGGAGCCCTGTTGTTTAATGCGTTTAGTTCCAGTTTTACAAGATGAAAAATTTCTGGAGATCTCTTGTGCAACAATATGAATATCCTTTTTTTTTGTTTTTAATTTATTTATTTTTGGCTGCGTTGGGTCTTCGTTGCTGCGCGCGAGCTTTCTCTAGTTGTGGCGAGCGGGGGCTACTCTGTTTTGCGGTGCGCAGGCTTCTCATTGCTGTGGCTTCCCTTGTTGCGGAGCACGGGCTCTAGGCACGCAGGCTTCAGCAGTTGTGGCACGTGGTCTCAATAGTTGTGGCTCGCGGGCTTTAGAGCACAGGCTCAGTAGCTGTGGCGCACGGGCTTAGTTGCTCCGTGGCATGTGGGATCTTCCCGGACCAGGGCTCGAACCTGGCAGGTGGATTCTTAACCACTGCGCCACCAGGGAAGTCCTTACAATATGAATATTCTTAACACCACTGAACTGTACACTTACAAACAGTTAAAATATTGGAAAAAAAAAAAAAAAAAAAGAGGAGGCAGAACACTGACCCAGTGGGCAGGGCTGAGGATGGGGAATGTGAACTCTAGGAACATTTCAGACAAGTTGTTTAACCTGTCTCCTTAGATACAAAAATGGGATTAGAAATACTCATCACCCCATTACAGTGGGAGTGATGAGTGATGGAGGCCCTGTGTCTTCCTAGGATGACAGCACAGAACTGTGAAAATTTCAACTTACTCTCCTTGAAAAGGGCATATGACTTAAACATCTGGCTTGAGTACACTTGAGAAGAGCTAACATATACTGAGCGTGTACCGTGTGCTGGGCATTTTACACCTATTAGTTCCCTTGAGCCTCACAACAATCCCATGAGATCAGTCACACTGTTACCTCCAACTTACAGATGAAGAAACTGAGGCAGAGGTAAAGTAGTGGCCCAAGGTCACCGTGTCAGAAAGTTGTGCAGCCAAGAGTTGAACCTGGAGCTCACAGGGCTGGGGAGTAGCTTACAGGGGTCCAAGTAGCCTGCAGCCCCTCCTCGCACACGTCTCCTCTCTGCCAAGCACTGGGACTCGGCCATGCGCTTCCCGGGGGCATCTTGGCTTGTTCCCTGCCGCGTCCTCAGGGCCGGCGGTATCTGACACGCAGCAAACAGCTGTTGCATGAATGAGCTACTGATTCTATGGCTTTTTTTTCCTGGGCGGGGGGTGGGGGTGGGGGGGGGCGGGCAGTGAGGAGGGGGTAGCGGCACCTGTAACCCAACTCAGTCAAGATACTAGGAACACAAAGCCTTCAGTGTTCACTTCCACTCTCCCTGGGCAGGCAGGCCCTTGTGGGCATCATCTCTCACCTGGCCCTTTACTCCCCAAAGCCAGTCTGCCCATCAGCCTGAGTGGCCGAGGAGGACCCAAAGCCATTACGTCAGGCTCCTCCTCCTGTTTTCCCTCTGTTAAAGACAGCGCCGCCCACCCAGCTGGCACGCCTCACACCTCCCGGTCATCGCTCGCTCCTCTCTCCTCCTGCTGCAGCCAGCGTCCGCCTGGTGAAGTCCGCTGCTGCACACAGTGTGCTCACAGGCCACCCGGCCGCCACAGTCCCTCCAGCTCACCTGGTCAGAGCCGCGGCCTCTGCTATCCCCTACCAATGTATTCTCCATGCTGCCACTGCCACTGCCACGATCCCTCATCCACACCATTCCCCTGCTGACAAAGCTCTGATGGTCCCCCTCTGTCAGATATCACAACCTCAATAGGGGATTCGATGTCCTTCCAGACCTGGTCCAGCCTCAACTCTGGTCACCTGCCTTACAGGTGCACCACTCGAGCCACTCTGGACTCGGGTTTCCAGACTATAAAATGTGGTAGTCTCTGTTTTCAACTCCACACTTGCTTATTGCCCGTCTGCCCAGCAAGCTTCTATTTCTCACTTGAGGCAGGCCTCAAATGTCCTCTTTTCTATAGCCACCTGTGATTCCTCCACTGCCACCCCGCCCCCAAGGCACAGTTTTGGCATCATCCCTGTCTCCAAGCTCTTTACCCGACCTCTAGCACAGAGCTGTTCACCCTGGAATTACCTCCCGTCAATCTCCACATGAGACCCGTCCCTTGATGGGCCACATC